TTTTTGAGCCTGCTGGTAAAGACCAGCATTTTTTTCTCCTACAAATACAGAGGAGAAATCTTTGTGTCCAGGATTTACTCTTGATCTAAACTCGTGTAAGCTGTACATGATCCACAGGGTGGGGGCAAAAAAAAAAAAAGTAAAGGTGGCTGGATGTGGTACTCAACGTATGGCTTCCTATGTATGGAGCTTAAGGAGCTGGCTTCTCCCAACCGTGTCGACCGAGTGCACCATCCATGCATGGGYGGGCGCCTGTTCTTCCCTGGAGTGACTCGAAGTGTTTCTTTTAACACAACCCTGTTTTCACGTAAGAAACTAGAAGCTGGATAGGATGTGTGTGGTGTGGAGAAGTGTAACGTGACCTGCTGATCGTTTTTTTTATAGTGACTTCAAAATGCCTGTTGATGAAAGCAGAAGTGACAAGCTCAAAATCGGGTCGTTTCAATAAACCAAAAGATGCATTTGAAGATACTGATGGCCTTTACGATCCTGAGTGTGAAAACAGTGGCATGTTCAAGGCTAAGCAGTGCAACGGGACCTCCTGCTGGTGTGTGAATACCGCCGGTGTAAGAAGAACTGACAAACATGACACAACCTTGAAGTGCAACCAACTAGTCAGAACAACGTAAGTCTTTCAACAGGTTCGGGTGTGCTGTGACGTTAAAGCATTCCTGTGTTAAGCTTTGTGTTAGAATGTATTTGTATGAATGATGCACTAGGACTGAATGAATGGGGAGCAATTAATTTTTCTTTACTGTTTTTTTTTCTTTTTCTCCCTGGTAGCAGTGAGACTTTGTTTTTTCCTCACTGCTTTGGTTTTGCATACTTTGTACCAGACTTAGATATTTTTCACACACAGATATTTTTCACACAATATATTTTATGCACGCCCTTCAAGAATATTTACTATACTTGTCCCTTACCCCAGGTGGATCATCCTTGAATTGAAACATGCTGAGAGAAAAGCTCCTCTGAGCACTGAGTCTCTAAGGAGGTAAGTGATGATAATCAGTAAGGTCTCCTGAAGATGTCTGCATTTATTATTACATACCTGGTTTACTTCTAAATGACAAAGGATAACAATGCATGGTTAAACCTGTTAAGTCATTTGCTGAACACTTTAGAAATCCCCTACAGTCCTTTGTAGATGTTGTTTTAAATTTGATTGGAAATAAATTAACCAATGAGGCTAATGTCCATTAAAACAGTTTTATTACCATTACTTTTTTTCTTCCTGGTGAATTCAAGATATTCAAGGAAATGGGAAGGCAATAAGGTAAAACTATCCCAAATGTAAATTGATTGGGTTGCATGGAAAGCCACACAAATTAAAGAATTGAGGGCAGAACAGAGTCTTACTTCTTTGGAAGAAGTAGAAAATAGCAATAAAAGTAAGAAAATACAGCAAGAAAAATGTAGCTATGAGGTTCTCTTCCCCCATGTAGAACAAAAGCTGCTACTGTGCATCTCTTTCTTGTGAACTCCTGAAACTGTTTAAACATTTTTTGTTGTCTATAAATATCTAAAACTAAGTAATTCAATAAATACAACCTCCTTGTTGGGAATTTAAACAGCTTTTAGTACCACTTAATAGTGAGAAGCTACAGAAAAAATCAATTATACTAGTCATTCATATACCTGAAAATGTGTGTGAAATAGGAATCTGCTTTTGACAGTTGTGATTTTTAATCTTGTAGAGCTCTGGTGGATACCATTACAAGTCGTTACTTGTTGGATGGACGCTATATAGGTGATGTTGTGGTAAGAAGCATATAATTGTTCTAAAATGGGAGAATTTGATTCTCTGTTGTGGAAAAACTGCAAATTCCAGTCTGGTCTGTCTAATGCAATACAGCAAGACTAGAGCATGATCAGACATGTGCTCTCAAAAGTGTCACTTGACACTTACGTGCATGGAATACATCCCTTAATGTTGTTTACATATTCTCCACTTGAGAATGTGCGTAAGGAAGTCATTTTGTATTCTTTTCCTCTACTCTCTGGAAGGTGTATTCTCAAAAGAAAGTGTTAGAACTGCTTGTTCACCTTTATTCATAATACTTCCAAGTAACACTTGGTGCTGTTGAGCAGCTAGCAAATAGCTGCATTGAAATTCTGGGAGAATACATGTCACTTTTAGCTTATAAATGATTTGTCTTGTTTTTCCCTGGAGCAAAAATGAAATTTGAATCATACTGTACACACTTTGCTTGAGAACAAGTGCCAGAAAAAAAAAAAGAATGTGAGTTCAAAAGTTGGATCATAGTATTCTGTTGTGTATTTGATAGTCATATATAAACTAGCACCTTTCCCATTCACAGTATGAAAACCCTTACATTACTGTTGATCTGAAACAAAATTCCTCAAGCAAGTCTGCTGGCGATGTGGATATAGCTGATGTGGCTTACTACTTTGAAAAAGATGTAAGTATGTTGCAGGTCAAATTTAACCAAAGAATAAACAGCGTATGTAACTTGATGAATCTTGTGTGCATGTGGTATTTGGGGGGTGTTTTTTTGGGTGCATACCAGCTGAAAACAGAGTGAATTATTGCAGTGTCTGGTTGCTGTCTTTTGTGAGGTGACTAGCAAATCTCCTTTGTCTCTGTTCTTAGGCAAAAGGTGACTCCATCTTTCACAATGACAGATTGAACATCAGTGTTGATAATGAAGCGCTGAAATTTGACAAGATGGTGGTTTACTACGTAGATGAAATAGCGCCAGAGTTTTCCATGAAGTCAGTGACTCCTGGTGTCATTGCTGTCATTGTAGTAGTAGTGCTAGCAGTCGTTGCTGGAATTGCTGTACTGGTAAGTTCTAGGAAAGCAGCAGAACAGAAGGGGTAATAGTCTCAATCGGGGGAGGGGAAAAAAGCTACTCTTGAATGTTAGTCTTGGATATTAACAGTTTTCCTCCATAAGACTAGATGGTGTGTGGGTTTTAGACTTCAGGAAGGGAGGTGGGAAAGAGATAATGAACATACTGTCATRGAATGGTGAATGCACCACCCCCTTAGAAGATTAGGGAAGGACAGCTTCCACTTTGGAGTTTTAAATGTAGCTTACGTGATTGTAGCTATAAGTAAATACCTGACGTTTGCAATACTGTTTTCTTTACAGGTTTGTTCAAGACGAAGAAAAGGGAAGTACGTYAAAGCAGAGGTAAACTATATAGTCGTGGTGATAAAGAGGTTGGGGTAACTTTTGGCTGGAATCTTAGAATCTTAATTCCACATTACCAACTAAGATCAGTGTAGATTAAAAGCTTGCTTTGAGTGCTGCAGATGTGTTCAGGTAGTGTCAAAATACTCAAATTCTGTAGTTAGCTTTCATTTCTGTAAAGCTAAATATGTTTGCTCTGCAGCAGTTTCAAAGACCACTGGCAGTATCGATTTCCCTGTCGTGGGAGGGCAAAAGCAAAGTACTATTCAGTGTATCCCTAGCAAGGACTGTACTTGATTTGATATGGACACTGAAGTCCCCCAGAAAATACTATCTGATAGTCTTATTTAATCATGAAGAGCTTTAATTGAGAGGATATTTCCATTGAGCTTGCAGTTTCTGTTGAAGAGCTGCTTACTAATGAACTGGTGACAAATGGCACTAGCATTCTGTACTTTGTCCCTGAGTGCAGAGCATTTGTAAAGGACGCCAAAGAGTGTCGTAACTAAAGGGTGCCATCTGCTCCCTGAGTCCCCGGGGTGCCATCTGGAAAGCTGCTGTGTTAATGTCGGTGTATTTGCTTCTGTTTAGTGCATTTTTGTCAAATCCCTTTTGCTAATGAAAATATGAAGTATTAAGCTCAAGTAATTTGGGAGCTCATATTTTGATAATCTTACTCTTCTGCAGGTAAAGGAAATGAATGAAATGCATAGAGGATTGAATGCCTAAGTGTGTTAACTGAAGACAGTAAGATTCAAACACGAAGACAAGAGAAATACTGAAGTCATGGATCTTGATTCTAAAGACTTCCCCTGAAGGAAGGAGGTTGTATTCACTTAATGATTTTTTTGTAAACTTTYAACGAAGCCTAGGCAGGCAACCGTGCTACTATTGCTACTTGTTTGAACACTGAATTTTAAAAGCCTTATTTTACTCAAGTCAAACTTAACTATTGATGATTTTTAAGGTGATGAAACGGGTTGACAATTGCTGTTACTAGGATTTTGGAGTTTATGGTTAAATTTGTAACCCTGTGGCAGGTTTTTGAAAACACTCACTTTTGTAGCTGTGTCGTAAGACCATGCGCCTGGCTCATGTATAATTGAACATGACTTTGTTTTTAGAGCTGTTTGTACATATTTGAACTTGCTGTAACTTTTTTTATGACTTGAATTAATAAAACTTTAAACCAGGCTTTTAATTCTTCTACTGTGTTAATTTGGTGATGATCTGATTAAACTATGATTCTTAAGTTCAACAACTTCACCAACAAGGGAAGAATATCCTAGACATACRGGTAATGAGCAGTTTGGTCATCCTATCTATGTAGCGTGACTTCTCCTGAAGTAGTGCTGTGCACAGTTTCCTCTTTTAATGTGCCATATGATAAAATGGAATGTTTATGCATAAAAATAAACATGCTGTGAATGCAGCAATTCCAGGAATGCTCCATCTGTATTGATAATTAAACAGGCCTCTAATCTTAAACCATCTCTGCTGGGGTGGAGGACTCGGTGTCTGCCTGCAGYGCTGGGGCAGAGCTCTTGCACCACTGCCCTCATTTGCATTGCTGTCCCTTGCAAAGCTGCTGCACAGCTCCAGTCTGTTTCTGCTGTTGGTCTGTTGCCAACTAGTGCTGTCTGCCTCTCCCTGCAAACAAAACTTCTCTTCCAGAGCTTAGGATAAGGCAGCTTGCTTTGAGAGCCAGCAGTCTGTGCAGTGGATGTCAGCTAGCACGCAAGCATGTCCCGTCCATCCAGCATATCTGATTTACAAAGGAAAGACTATAACTTCTGTTGCCAACRCAGTAATGAGATACAAGATAAAGAACTGAATGACAAATCTCATTACTAATGCAGTGGTTTGGTTTTGTTTCCCCCTCCCCGAAACAGGAAAAGTAGGATGTGCCACTGTGTGGGTAGGTTATGTCCTGTGTTCTACTATTAACTGCAGAGCGTACCCCATTAGAGCGCTTGCGCAAGGATGAAGGTTGCTAAAGCCGCTGGCCTCTGCTGAGAGCGCTCCTGCCCTCCCWGGTCATGGGAATCCTGCCTGCCTTTGGCCAAGCGGGGAGAAGCTAGGTTGGGTGTTCAGACGTGGAGTTGCTGCTAGCAGGCAGTGTAATTTCTTTAGGTCTGCAGAATATGGTGCTGAGGGATTACRTATCTGCACAGAGCAGCTGCAGCCTCTGCGTTTTACCCAAGTTCTGGGTGTCTGTAGCATGTATTTGGAGCATTCATATRAACTTGGTCTGAGATGTTACTGTTCCTGCAAATCAGAAATCCCAAAACAGGGAATTCACAGAGGTACACCACAGCCTTTCATGGACGTTAGTGCCCGTTTTCACTCAGTGGCACCTTGTGTGGGGCAGCTGCCCCCTCTGCCACCAGCTGCTGCTCCCTGTCGGCCTAGGRTGTCATATAGTCACCTGAGGCTGGCTCAACAGCACGCAGCTCTGGAAGCTGCTGAACCAAGGCGGTTCCCAGTGAGCCTGTCCTCTGCTGAGCCATCCGTGCTTTCTCTTTCTGCTGCCTCTTTATTCTTAAGMTATATTTTACTTTCTTCCATTTTTTGCAGTTTGATGTCCTCACACTTTATTTTGTTTGGTATATAGTAACCCTGGAGTTCTCCTCCCTACCCCCAGCTCTCCATTTCATACCTAAATTTTTGGCCTACAGGGGMGGAAAGAGATGTCATGGCTGGGGCTGGGCAGGGGCTGCGCGTGTGCCGACTTGCCTGGCTGGTAKGTACCTGCTGAGTGGCCTGCAAGCCACCCTTGTCCCTTCCTCTTGAAAACTCCCTCCTCTTCCCATAATAGGTGAAAGCACTTAGATAATGTAACTTAATAATAATTGCTACCTTTCAAGTTAGATAYATGCAAGAATTTAGTCTTACGTGGTATCTGTGTCCACATTGACTCAAACTAGCCAATGAGATAGAAAAGTTCACAGAAACTACACAAAAAATAGAAAACAGTTTAACCAAAGAGATARTATTATGTCATGGTTACTATGCTACAAACATTCCTGCTGCTGCTCAGCTCTGCAAATGGTTGTCTTTGTTCACCGCTTATTCAATAGCATTTTCTTTTTCCACTCTAGTTTCCTTTTTTAAGTATTGTTGACCTTTACATTGGTTTTTGTTTTGTTCTGTTTACTAAACATAGCACTGGTGCAACAGTGCAGCTGCATGGTACTGTCTACCTATGCGGATATGTAGAAGAGGGAGGGAAGAGAGAGCTGAGAAAGTCATGCAGGAATCCTATGATTTGTATTTATAGTGTAAGGAGACTAATGCACTGAGGAAAAACATATATATATATAATAATCTCCTTGTGCATATTTTTTTCTCATATTTCTTCAGAGGAGTTTTGCTGGCAAAAAAGATTGCTATGGGAAAATACTGAGATAAAATATCAAAATATTTTATTCCCTATATCAACACTTAGAAATACTTTRGCAAGGTTAAAACTTGTTTTCCTGTAAAAGAAGCAACTTAAAATAACTTCATAAAACACTCTTAGTCATTGCTTCAATTTTTGAGAAGGTAAATATGCTAATGTTCCCATTTGTCTAACTCATTAAGTTCCTTTAGCAAAGGAATATGCTTTTTAAATCTCTTTAATATTTTTTCACAAAGTTCCAATAATGCATTTCCTCTCTCTAAATGTAACATAATATCAGTTGTAAAAGCRGATGAGAAGGGCAAGGGCAGAGTGAAAAATTTATTAAATAAAGTGAGGGTGAATGAATGACCACAGAAACTGTACAAGAAATCCCAGTATTACTTAAGTAATACTTATCTTAGTGTGTACATACAATGTCTGAAAATATGAGAAACATGCTCAAAGACATGAGCAGAGTCTAAGTTTCTGCAGCTGTATGAATTAAAAAAGATGGCATATTGCATATGTRGGACCCTATAGCATGCTTGTTCTCGTAAGCAAGCATAACAAATTTGTTAAGACAAATAATGTGGTTTGTAAATCATGTTTATTTAAATCTTCACCTGCTGGACTTTGGTCATCATAACATACAGTGCCTTGGAATTAGAGACTGCTTCAAACAGCCTTAAAAAAATCTAGGGACTAAAAATGCTGTCAGCTCCATGTATTTAACAGCACAGCATTTATTGAATCCTAACAACCTCCAGGWGAGGCAGGCCAAGGTCTAGTACTAGAGACCATTGCTGGGCACTCAGAACATCAGGCCTGGTTTAGGGGTGCCTGTTGTTGGGGATAGCGGGCCCCATCACCACAAGACTTTTATAAACTTTCCTAAAATCTTTCCTTGTCCTTCTGTCTTGACAGTGACAAGCAGTGGCAGCGCGTGCCGGTGGGAGGGTGGCAGGTAGAAAGCAGGTGATGTGTAATGGCAGARGCAACACATAATATCTTGTGTCAGGTAACAACTTGTTGCGACATGCAGAAGTTGTTTTTATTTTTTATTTTTTCCCAACTAATGCCTCAAAGCATTGCTGAGTCCCGAGGCAGCCAGGTGCCCACCGAGTCAAGGCAGGCATGTGGTAATGGGTTTGGTAAAAAATAATCCCTACTATTCTAATTCGGTATGACCGCATTCTCTTAAAACTCTGCCGCTCTGTGTGTGCACTCAGAAACTGGTCTGCTGTGGGATTTTCTGGTGACGTCTCTGCCAGGTAAAAAGCATCAGAGCTGCTGCTGCTTAAACATGAATWCTAATATTCCTCCAGTGAAACAGTTTTTTTTAATTATTATTTTTACTGGTATTCTTTTTTTTTTTCCTTGTAGGGTGAATGAACATACATTTTTTTTAGGTTCATTACGTTAATTGTAAAATAAACCACCAACAACAAAATGTAAGGCCTAGCCATGCACCCATTTCCCTGGTTCCACATGCCTAACCGGGACACGTCCTGCTCCTCCTCCTCCTTCCTGTCCTGCCTGGAGCGCAGGCAGGCGGGAAGCCGGGAAGCTCTGGGACCCTCCTATTGGGTTACATCAGTTTGCTCTTTCACAGGTGGGAATGAGATGTCTTGAGTCTCCAAGTCCCCTAGTATTTGTGCAAGGGCACTTCTTATTTCTTTATTATCTTCTACCTTATCTGCCTTTTTTTTTTTTTTTTTTTTTTTTTTTTGAGTCATCAACAGGTACAAAGAGAAACAATCCCACCTATTCACAAGGTACCAAGTGTGGGCAAGTGCGGGTTGGCCGGATACAAGCACCGCTTGGAAAGGTTACCTCACTTTTATGAGCACTTATTTTTTCCCCCTAGATATTTGCTAAATGCTAATTTAATAAGAATTTGGACTCAATTTTTCACCTCAAGGGAAAGCTGCCAAAGTTTCGGCACCTTCATGTTTTGCTTCTTCCTCACCAGGGTTTAGGAGAGACCCCAGTGAGSAGGTCCCAGGTCCCGGGTTTAGGGAAGGACTCCTGGGGTGTCCATCCCAGGTCTCAGCCCTTGGAGCGTGGGGCAGGACAGAAATGTGGGGCACGACACCGATTTGGGGCTAGGTCAGGTGGGGCTTTATTTCTTAGCCAGTTTTGAGCAGAGCCTCAGTTATAACATGGGATCTTTTCATGCGGGGTTTATTTCAAGAGCCAGAGGAGAGAAAAATAAACAAATAACCACCAGTTCTGTAGTGAAAATGGGTTAAATCCTGCCGTTTCAGTCTGGAGGGCTGTTTCAAGAAACTCTGCACCTGCTCTTGTACTTTAAGAGTGGAGGAGACACASTGCAGAAAATCTCATGAGTTTCTGCTGAGAGGATATCAGGTGGAATTCAGATTTATTGATAGATACGTTTTGGTGTYGACCCTGAACGCCACCACGCGGGAAGAAGCGGGAGCCTGGCACCCAGCGCGGGGCCCGGGCCCCCGCGGCCGGGCCGGTTCCGGGASAGCGACCGGGGCCGCGCCTCGCCACGCGCGCCCCCTGGCGGGGCGGAGCCACCGCGTTGCCATGGCAGCGCACGGCGCGCCAAAAGGCCCAGTCCGCGCGCGGGCGCGGGGCGGGGGTCACGTGCCGCGCCAGCCGCGCGGCGATTGGGTGGCGCCGCTCTCGCGTGGCGGCGGTTGGTGACGGTTGGTGACGGTTGCGGCGGTTGGCGGGAGCAGCATGGCGGTGGAGCCGCCGCGGGAGGCCGTGTGGCCCGAGGGCGCGGGCGCCGAGGCGGGCTTCGTGCGCGCCGTGCTCTCGCTGCCCGACAAGCCCGACACCACCGTGCGCTTCTTCGAGCGCGGCGACTACTACACGGCGCACGGCGGCGACGCGCGGCTG